TGTAAGTCAGCCATACGCTTCACCTTCACCTTGTCCTGTCTCCTACCCGTTCTGGATCTAAATATGTGGTAATCATCTTCCTCCTCTGATGCGGTGCCACTCCCTTTATCACTGTTGGAGGGCCCTGGGTCTGGGCCGGTAAGTCCACCCGTGCTAGAGGGGCCCGGGCGGCTAGACACCACCAAGCTGGGGAGGTTGGTGCTTGCCATGCTAGCTTCTTGCTATTGTTGTCGTCTACGCTGATTCCTGGTTATCATCATTTATTGCTGAGGCTCATTTCACATGTGTTCTTGGGTGTTTTGTCCTTTACACTGCACGAAATCAGTTGTGAGTCGTGTGTAAACCATTTTTCATTCATAAACAGTGGGTTTGGTGGGTGCATGGAATAACTTTTGGATCTTTGGAGGACGAGCTGACCTGGAGCAAAGTTACCGAACATGAAGCCTTGAGCTATGTTCCATTTGTAGAACATTGGTGGTTTGTAGCACTTGACTTTGTGTCCACAGATGTCAGTAATGTCTGAAAGCTCTAGTTCCTCGCTGTATTTGTGGTCCACTGCATTCAAGTTCTTTGGTTTATTAGGTCTGATGTCGTGCACGTTGATCCCGAATATCTTGGGAATGGCATTATATAAGATACTTTGTGCCCTGCTATTTCTGAAAACACTCCCATCTTTGACATCAAAGGCAATGATGAAAGTTTGCAAATCAGAAGAACTTGTACTACCTTAATTGAGCGGTGGGTGTTGATACTGAGGCCGCGTGGTGCTGGCATGGTCTCTGTTTACCTCTGTATGATGGCGGCGCTTCGCCTCTAGTCTGTTTGCCTTGCTGTGATGTTTACTGTCCAGGAAATCTGTATCTGGATCCTCTTCTAAGACCGGGTGACGTTCATGATCTAAATGTGTGGTATATAACGGTGGTGTCCCAACATCCTCAAAGGTATCGTCAATGTTTGTAGGAGAGACGTCCAGCAGTCGCCATGACGCCGAATATTCTTTCATGAACATACTAACACCTACAGAAAAGACCCGTTAATGATGAATGAGATAATAATGGATAAAGTGTTATTTCGTTTTCCGTTGTTTCTTTAGTGTTAGGGTTTTGATGTTTTTGTGTTCTGTGTATAGTTACTATATTAAGGGGTAATATAAATGCTCCAAATTCTCAGAAGTTTCATGACAGGAAAATTGATGTGCCTAATGACTCCACATAACCTATCCTTAAGAATTGCACATTCCAAGAAGTTCAACATTTATCTTATATGCGCTAATTACAATTAATATTTCTTCCCAAAAGTAGAGGATCAATCAGGCCAGCCGATAGGTAACCTGCAAAATGTTGGTCGACTTGGCAAGTCAGGAGAAGCGTGTAACACAAATGAATGAATGGATGAATGAACGAAGGAATTAAATACAGGACAAGATACCCTTCGGGTGAGCTTTGAAGTGGATATAGTTGAAGAGTAACCTGGAGAAAGGAAACGTCGAAGTTGGAGAGACAGAGCCAGGGCTAAACTTCTTTCTTCTGTGATGCTAGAGTCTTCATTCTTCTGTCATCTGTCTTCTACGTCGGTCTGCTTGGAAGCTTGCAGGAATTCCACCACTTATAAACGAGCAAAATTAGGTCCCCATCCCCCTAAAGAGGGGGAAGAAGGCTACTGCCTTCAGTAGGTCTCAGTTCTACATCTTCTTGCTGCTATGTCTTTTTTCTTCTGTTTGTTCAGGCTTCGTGTAATCATTTGATGTTCATGTTTGTACTCGGCGTAGTCGCTGGGGAAAAGTTCGGCTGCCAGTGTGGATTCATCACATACCGTGACGATTATGTCGTTGTCAATCTCGCACTTCACAGTACTTCCTAGATTACGCTGCACGTATTCATTGTACTTAGTGTTATATATACGGCTAGTGAGCCATCTGAATGCAGGAGATCCATATGTAGTGTTGCTACGTTGCTGATACAATTTAATTACTGCTGGAGAATCAATAACCGCCGAGTCTGGGTGTGGTGAGTGTGTTTCAATGTCGACAGAGGCAGTAGAGTCGTCATTAGAAGACAGGTTGAGGTCTGTAGGAGCAACTGATGTTGGCTCCCATGCAGGTGACGTAGTCACAGGTATGACTGGAGTAATAGGTGGGTGATTTCGAGTGGCAGCTTGCAGAGGTAAGGTAGGAGCCGTAGCTGTAGCAGGTTGCAGTGGGTGGGCGTGTGCAGGGTTGAGATCTGACAGTGCAGCTGGAGAGATGGTGATGTTAGAGGCTGAAGTAGTAGCAGTGGCAGCGGCTGGAACTGTGGTTGTGAAGAGTTCCTCGAGGAACATTAAATGCTGGGAGACCATTGGCAGCGTATAGGATGTTTAGAATTCGTGCAAATTCCTTGCAGTTTGTGCCTGCCATCATTTCAGCCAGGCGGATGAGTCCGAAGCTGGTACTATGATCAACGTTGGTGGACGGCAACTGGTGTGGTGAAGGCTGGCTTGTTGATTAGCCAGAGAGAGGTTGTGACTGTTGCGGGTGAGTCGAAGATCGGTTGGCAGACAGGGAGCGAGGCCCCCATTGACTTGCAGGCTGTGCAGAAGCTCCGCCCCCACCCGGAGCTCAGGGAAGTTGGCGGCCTGCACGTTGAATGTTGATAGTGCACGGCGAGTGGTGTTGACCTGCCTGGCGACGGACATCTTCTGAATTACTGCACGTCTTCGGGGGCACTCAGCAGAGACGGTAGTGTGCTCACCTTGGCAGAGAAGGAAGTTGTTGGTGCATCTTTTGAAGTGGTGATTCTCAGCGCACTTGCTGCACCGTTGGTCTGGAGACGAACACTTTTTCGTGAAGTGTTCGTAGCTATAGCACTTATAGCATGTAATCAGTCTAACTCCAATAGTAAAACAGTGACAGATGATCTAGATATACCAGAGATCTTCAACACCATCAACATTTACCAGCAACAATTTAACACTCAACAAGTCTAGACGCTACAGCCTTACCACAGAGCAGACAACTAGATTCTGGCTATGCTCTAGCTACCAGCTCTCGTCCCGTATTCGAGCTCTACACCCCCGGCCTCACTCAAGCTTTCTGCTCTCTTCTCTAGGACTCGTCTCAGCTATCACAACACATCATCAGCATTTCCAACAACCAACTGCTGTAACAAAGTCTATTTTAAATATTTTTAGTCTATTTTATGCCCGAAACGCTATGCGTGCTAGGGGCTTTACAATAATGTAAAATCAACATCATTTCTATGTACTGTCTTTACCCCCAATATACCTTCTTTTATATAAATAAATAAATAAATATACATAAAAAACATTAAACTCTTTGAGACATGTCTCCCAAACATAATAAGATGTATAAATGCATCTGTACATAAATCAATGTAAACATGCATAAATAAGCAGGACACGAGTATTTGTTACTCTTATACTTTTCTATATATTTCTGTATGTTTGTACATTTTATTTTTATTAATAAAGGCGACAATGTGACTAAAGGGTCGCAGTAGGCGGTTGTGATGTTTTCTAAAGTGAACCCGAGTGGTTCGCTGATTTATTCTGATTTTGTATATTTGGTTTGGTTGTCACTTGTTACATAATTATGCATGGATTTAATACAGTACTGTATTTTGTGCTAATTCATTGTGTTGCAGTTTTGTTAAATATTATTTTTTTCCAGCACTTCTTTTGTTTTGTTTTGTAAATCTTTATGGTACTTTTCTGTTTTGTGGACACTGACAGTGACATTGTACCAGTGATTTTTCTTTGTATTTCCAATATTTGTGTTGTGAACAAATTCACAAGGGCCGTGACGAGGGTTCGAACCTACGTCCAAGAGGATCCCAGACGCTGCGTTAATCGACTGAGCTACGGATTAAGGCAGCTTCTAGGATCCTCTCGGATGTGGATGTGGATTCGAACCCTCGTCACGGCCCTTGTGGATTTGTTCATTTGATGCATCACGCTATTGTGATTTCTGTGTGTAATATGTGTTGTGCCTTGCTGTGACCCAACACACTGTTGTGTACGCACTGTTGTGTAACTGTGTCTTCTTTTATTGAGTCTGTATGTTGTTCTGTGTTGTGTGTATGGTTTGTACTCCACTGTGGTGGTGTTTAATGAATTTTCTTAAGGACTCTTATAATTATGTTGTGTTTTTTGATACCCAATTTCAGCTCTGTATAATGTACTTCAGTATCATTCATGCTATCTCATGTGATTTTCTTGTTGTTTATTGATATTCCTGGTTTAGGTTATAGGTGCTCTGTGTACCTGGAATTGTTGTATTTTTAATATTTTCTATCTCTTTATAAATAAAGAAGAAAATAGGGTGTCGAGAAACAGTAACAACCAACCAAACACACAACGAAACTACGACATTAATGCAACGTTCGAACAACTATCTAGCAAGTTGTAATAATTTTCTAACATGTCATAAAATCTTTATAACAAGATGTATTGACTTTGTAACAAGTTGTAACAAGGTAACAGTAGGGACCGTTATGCTGTGTGTTTACAGGGAACCATATATGCCTGGCTGAACTGCCAGCCTATGGGCGGAGTGCTCACTCTAATCCGTCTTCATACAAATAACTTCACATTTCGCTCGTATGTGCACTACGGCTATAGGTTGCCATACTAGCAAATGGAAACGACTCGCGAAAGTGACGTTCTGTCCCGTTTTCTGTTTTGGGTCCTCTGGTTTAGTCTGTTAGGTTAGGAGATAACACTTTAAATTAACAATTTTCATGACTTTTGAAATCTTAGGAAAACTTGCTTCTCTCCTAACCTTCCAGAGGATAAAAACGTGCTGATATGGGTCCATTTCATTTGGAAAATTATTTTTCAGTTTCTAGTACGGCAAGTTTTGGCCGTAGCACGCGTACGAGCGAAAAGCGACGTTATTTGTTAGAGGGATGGTTGAAGCCACCCCACTTCTAACTCTTGGGTCTCTGTGACGCCCCAGCCGTGTGGCCCCCAGCAACATTGTAATTTATTTCTTGATCTTTCAGAGAGACGTTTTTGGTTCACAACAAGCCTGACCCGAACAACCTAGCCTACACCTCAGTCAACCTTGACATGCACTGTGACTTGCCTTATATGGCCTACAAACCTGGCGTAAGTGCCTTTGTTCCTGTATAGTAAATTTGCTAAGTTTCAGGTGAAAGGGAAACCATACAGGTAGAGAGCACGTTTATTGTAAACGCAGGCTACACTCTCTGGTGTAGATGTCATGTATCAACATTCTGTTATTATAAGGTCCCTAAAACCAAAGAAAATCTAATGCTAATAGTACGAACCTTACCTATGTAATACTTAGTCTTACAAATCACTCTGAATCCTAGCATTCCTCCCCCTTTAAATAAAGCCTACCTCCAACAAATTAAGTATCAGACTGTAGTATGACTTCCTGATTTTCTCAACTGGGGATCAAACCCCCATTGCTTCTGGGAACCTTCTCCTGAGTTACTAGCTTCTAATTTCATAGTTGTGCTCTTTCCACTCTGTTGAACCTTGCTCCACCACCCTATCCTTACTATGTAATTATTACATTGGGTATTCTTGGGTCTTATTACTTATAAAAGAAAATATTTGCAAGCTAAATAAACAAACACAATTCTAGATTCAAATATCACATGTAACTGAAACCAGGAACATCAACACACAACGAGCAACATGAAATCCCGTGTGTGTAAACACGAACAGAATTCATGTACATTACACGGAACATGAAAACAAGTAGCAACACACGCAACATAGTTTAATGGAGTCCATAAGAAAATTCATCATACAAACAGTGCAGTACAAAATAACATACAGACCCACGAAAACAAAGGCCCTACAGAAGACACAGGCAGTTACACAACATACCCTGACCTCTGATACCATCAGTGTCCTAAAATTAAAAAAAAAACAGAATGATGCACAATACGCAAGAGGCACTGGAAATAAACAATAACATTAACAACATAACTGCAACACAATGCATAACCTCAAAATATAGGACTAAAAACAGGCATAATTAAATAACAAGTGACAGGTTAAATCTGAACGAGACCCATAAAACGCGCGGGCTTTTACTATCCGTCATACCAAAGTCCGTTAGGTAAGGTAAGGTAATTATCAGGAGAGAGCAGTAAGCCACTACGATTATATGACAACCACAACCTATAGAAAACATAACATTATCAACAACAAAGTAATAATTATCACTAAAAACATTGGCCACTCAAATTATATATTGAAAAATTATATTACACTACATACAAAAGTCAAGAAACACCTGTTGTACAGCAAACCCTACTCAAAATGGTACAACAAATTCCTGCCACAGGGGATCAAAATGCTTCAACTCGTCCTCAGATCAAGTCCATTCCATCCAGCGGTCAACCTCAAAGACGCATTTAACAATTTTAACAAGGTGTTCATTCACAATAGGAATTTTCTCAAATATAAATAATATTATTATATATTAGCAAATTGTGCATATTTAGGCATTGGTTTGGTTAGGTTAGGTACTTAGGTTCTGTTGGCAAATATTTGTATTTGTAGTACATGGGTGAAGCATTTACAGCACTTTGGTTCAAACGAAAGTCGTCAGCTTCTTGTACCAGAAGTATTCGGACGTCATCAGTTGTGAGTCGTGTATAAACCGTTTTTCAATCATAAACAGGGGTTTGGCAGGTGCATGGAATCACTTTTGGCCTTTGTTTATGAGGGACGGGTTTAATTGCTTCCAAAAAAACAGTGAACCACTCAGGGTTCACTTCATACAACATTCCAACCTTTTACTGCGAACCTTAGTCACTCACAGTGTCGCCTGTATTATAATGAAAGAAATGTGAAAAATACGGAAATAGATACAATTATAACAGCTGCAAAGACACTGAATAAAAATCACCCCAAAACCTACCACATCCAAGAGACAATAGAAAGTGAAATAACATTATTATCCATTATTATCTCACTCATCATTAGCTGGTCGTTTTTCTGAGGTGTTTGTATATCCATAGAGCCATTATTTCCTTTTATAATGGTCAGTAGTCCCTTTTTTATATTAATTTTAATATTCTCTACCAGGGGGAGCCATTAACCAGTTTCTGGATTTGGCTCTCCGACCATCTTGGGGTGAGGACATTTATTACTTGTTCACCTGCCAGTTTATTTTTCTTTTTGTTTGTAAAACAAAATACAGTATAATGAAACATACAATATAAAGGCACCGAAGCACCAAAATAAAACCGAGCACCAGCTCCACACCACCCAACAATATAATACCATGAGTCATAAATGCAACATAGTTCATTACAAATATAAACGTCACAGCAAAATGCAGAACAACAATGAACACATAATAACAAAAAACAGATTACAATGGACATAAAGCAAAGAACGTAAATGAGAACATGAAACAAAAAATTAAAGACATAAGAACGCAGAATAAAAAACAGCACTACCCAGACGGGGCGAGCCAATTTATGAATATTAAACTACAAAAGTGCACAAAAGAACAACACCAGAAACGAAAGTAACATAACATTTAAAATGCAAAACGCACATACGACACACGGAACCCCCGGCACATACAGTACAAACAAAGAACGCCCGAACGGAACACACAGGAACCGGGAAACAAAGCGACAACCACACCCCAAACACGCATGAAATAGAATACCGGAACACGCAGGAACCGGCAAAGGAAACAAAACACATACACGAGAAAGCACACACACTCATACAACACCACAAGAACACAACACAGAATACAGCATTCAAACACACACAGGAAAAACCACAGCACAGTATAAACAAAATACAAAACAAAACATCTAAACACAACGCCTAAATGAGGCGAGCCAAAAACATGGAAACAAAACATACATTAGCAGACAAGGCAACAATTACAATTTTTCATGGAGTATATAATAAAAGCACAAACACTAAGCATATTTATCGGGAAACTCCTGCGTCGGAAATCGCAAGCAGTAAGCCTCCCAAATTAGCATGTCCTCATCGAACACCTGATTACCAGGAGACACACAAGGAAGAGGCATCAGATCTGGAACCCCGTAAATAAATCCCTTTGCCCGCAGCACCTAAATAGTAGAGGAGCACCATGGAACTGGACGCACTCGACCATCAAAACTGAGTTCCAAAGGCTGCGACACACTGAGCGTGACCTTGGAGGTCGCGACCACAGGGAGGGGTGCAGCATGAGGGGTGCCAGCACTTGGTGACATACTAGGTTTGTCACAGGGAGCTGCACTGAGATTCACATGGGGGCTTCACACCGGGAGGATCCGCAGAGGACGCAGACGTACCAGGGTTCCCGCCACCAGCCACAGTAGCATAGACCTCCTGGCGTGTATCCTTCTTCAATACCACGACACGTTAACGATTTCTAGGGGCAACCTCCCAAGGAGGGGAGCCACCAGCATGAGACGCATGGGGCGTCACAGGAGGCAGTACAGAACCCCTTACAACACCGTCAACCACATCGTCACACTCAGTGGCCCACTTGCGAGAGGGCGACACACTTCAAACCTTCCAAGAATGCTTGGACACCGGCCGGTGATCATCCGAACTGTCACCACCAGCAGGAGGCTTCCGAGTAGAGCCTTCGGCTGGCCGCACCACACTGTGCAAATAGCAAGCCGGAAATACAACAGCCTCGCCAACAGGGGGTACAGACCCACACCCCCACAGGCGACACAGGAACAGGAACTGTAGACAGAGCAGGCGGGGCTGGCGGAGGCGAAGGAGCCGGCTGATGCGAGGAAGCCGACGGTGGGGGTGGGTCCGCACCCGCCACCACCCCGACACCCACACCACCAGCACTTACTGGTGCGGCATCCAACACCGCATCCGTCCTCACACAAGGGGCACCACCCAGAACCGAGATATCCTCCTACTCTGACAAAGGAGGAAAATCCGCCTCGTGGAACACGTTACACAGATCATACATCCGAGTGTTGCAGGCAGCAGCCAAATGTCCAACGTGGCCATACTTAAAACATGTCCGAGTCTGCCCACGGTAGTAGAAGCAGACCGTAAAGCCAGCGATCGAGAGAGAAGAAGGCACACTCCCACGAAGAACCATTTTAGCTGTCCTGTAGCCATTATTGAGTCCCTTGACGTCGCCGGACGTGTGCCTACACACACGAATAGAGTCCACACGTCCATACCTGGCAAGAGCCCGACGGATATCCTCAGACATTTCAAAAAGCGCATTCTTAATAGACACGTATGTGTACTCCACACTCAAATTCGACACAGTCACAGAGCCGAGACCATTGCTTAGTCGCACCACCTGATCCTCATACTGGTCGAGAAACTTCCTGAACAAGCCACTCTCGGCGAACTTCACAACCACTCTGTCCTCGCGAACGACCTGAAGACCAGTGAGATCTTTCACTTTCACGTCCATAACTTCAAACAGAGTTTTGCTGATGATTCTAATATCCACCCTACAGGTAAACGTCAGCCCTGCCGAGTCCTTCCTCCTCAGTGGCGGCACGTAGGTCCCCATACTGAGACTGAAAAACAGTCACCCCACAGTGACAAACTACCACTCGGCGGGGCAACCGACAATCGTCCAATGTAAACACCAGCCAGGAACAGAGAAACCACAGGCATCACCTGCACGTTGCCTGTTTGGTGTGGCTGTCTTGGGTTGACGCATGTGCTGTCGCCAGGCTGAGACCTGAGCATGTTTTTTTTTTTTTGTTTATAAAAGAAAACCACAGTACAAACAGAAAACCATTCACAAAAAACATGATTACATACAAAATACACAGATTACAGTAATACATCAGTCAAAGAACCCAAAGACAAGCATAATCAAAAGGGAAATACACGAATAATCAATATAGAAATACACATGATACAAGCATATAACAAACTCCAACACGGGCATATAAGAAAAACTAAAAGCAGTACAGGACACAAGGCATTAATAACAGAAAACAGAACTACACAGGAAACCGTAAGTACAAAAAAAAAACTTTTTTTATAAAAAAGAGGCAGAATACAAAGCACAAAAAGGATAGAACAGAAAAATAATACATAATTAGCACAAGTCAAAAACACATGGCACATGAAAGAGACAAATAACAGCA